AGGGGTGGGATTTACCGCTCACACATCAGAGTCAGTCTGTAGGCTGTCCACGCAGCCCTGCTGATCTTGACTAACTCGCTCATGTCTATTTAACGTTCTAGGCTGGCCTCCGCTGGGCGCTCTACTCCATCCTCTTCGCAAGGAACGCTGAGCTCGCCCAGAGATACCTTTCTCACAGCAGCACTTCAAACATACAGACCTTTGAGGCCCATCTCAGAACTAGCAAGGAGGAATTTTCACCTCTTTCCATTAGTCACAAAACCTGCTTCTATGGGTGGAGAAATGGGCTCTGTCTCTTTATTAAAAGGAAGTCGCATGGCAAAAGGTGTGGATGCAGGTAAGGTAAAGAACTGGGGCCATTACTATAACATAGCATAAGGTGTGGGTAGGAATATGTGAATAAATTGGGAAGTGAGGAAGCTGCTTGTCTTGAACTCTGAGTTTGTTTGAAATTGTAACACTTTTTCTTCTTCAAGATGACTAATTCGCAAGACTTTCCAAATGAATTTCTCCTGTTTGTGAAGCTGAAATGCCAACAGATCCACACAAATTACCAGAATGTTTCACAATTCCTCTCGAAATACCTGTCAGAAAAGTTCTTTTGAAGGAGCACATGGTGGCATTTTTTCCTTGCCATAAACAAAATACGTCCATATGAAGAGTCTGAGGTGTTAAAGATGAAAACTTGCAGGAAAGCGGTAACATTTAGGAGAAAAGGAAGACCATCCGAAGATTCAGAACAAGCAGATTACTATCTTGACGTTCCCTGAAATCTAGTACCATTTTCTTCATCACTTGCAAAGTCTGGCCATTGGAAAAGGCAGACTGGGAATCGGATGTGGGGTCCTGTACTTGTCTGGTTGTTTGACCTGCGTAAAGTAGCGATCTCTTTGTGTACTTTTTTTGTTCCATATGTGGATCAAATAATATAAGAATTCTGTGTAAACTAAAGCACCAAATATATGAGCTATTTTTATATCAAAAGTCATCTAAGAAAAAAAATCACTCTGTCTGTGAAATGTTCACTGTGACCTCTGATTGCCAGTCCCCTTTTCTTTTCAATTCCTTTATCAAAGCCAACAGATAGTAAAAAAAAAAAAAAAA